TTCTGGAAAATTTTTCTGTTGAATTCAAAGTCGGTGATGATGTGTTCGTCGATGCTCGTCACTTGCAGTTTGAAGCGCATACTCTTCGTAAATTCAGGCGTCACATTTTTTGTCTATGCCACGTCCTTCAGACTATTGGTTCTGAGACTGCCGCTAGACTAAGTTCGGTCAACTTTCGTACGAAGCTGCCTGTTTATCTTAGACAGGCTCGCGTACACGATATTTACCACGCTTTCTTACATCCTTATCAGAGACCGTCCAAGGAATTTGTCGAACATCCTTATGAGCACCCTCCACCTATCATGGAGGATGGTCACGAAGAGTTTGTCGTTTCAGACATTGTATCTTGCAGAGTTACCAATGACAACTCTTCACACATCGAGTATCTTGTGCGTTGGAAGGGATATCCTAATAAGGAAGCTACTTGGGAGCCCCTCGAGCACTTACATCACATCAGGATGTTGGTGCGTGCATACGAGCGTGCTCGTCATGCTGAGACATTTACTCCTAGTAATCCAACTAACTTTTTTCTTTCTTCTCCGACTGAGGAGATTGTCTGCTCTCTCTGAGCCCGTCCCTCGGAGTAAGCAAACGCCTTCACGCATCCACAACACACTTGTCGTCACCCTCGGCATCTCGGAGACAAACACTATGATCACCTGCCATCTCCCCACTGACTCATACTGTTTGGTACTCCATCATTCGCTCTTTATCAAAATGTCATCGTTTTGCGGCTCTGCTTCGACATCGGTTCGACTCCTACTTCATAAGTCATTGACTACTTCGAAGACTTCAACTACTTCACTTACTCTCGCTACTTTCGACGTGACTACTTTACGTCATCATCCTACCCTATATATTTTCTTTTGTACGTCGCATGATGGTTCTCACTTAGGTGGTTCTCCCAGAGTTTGACTCTCCCTTAGTATCGTATAGGCCTGGAGACTGTAGCGTTATTTTGGCTTCCTTGCTTCCAGATCAGACTCTCTCCCAGTCGGTGAGTTGTCTGCATATTTCCCTCACACACTGCCCTCATCACCCTAGTGTCGCCCATTGCATGCCTTTAGTTTGGCATATCCAGACTCCCTTGTCATGGTCGACCCTACATGGTGTCACCCTTTTGTCGAACATTACCCGCCTTGACGGTTTATCTATAAAGGTCATTGGTTTTGTTTCACTATCACTCCCCCGCTCTGAGTCTGATAATCTACCCCACCTTTGTCTGTGACTGCCTGAAACCTAGGAGTTTCAATTCTTTGGCTGCTTTTACCCCTTTTGAGACCATCCCACTTTTAATGGTTTAGCAACACAACATCATGTTGTGCTACAGTGTGTTTCTCTTTCAACACTGAGGTATTTGCCTCCAAGACTTTAGGATTAAAAGTGGACCCGTTGCAGCTACGATGCAGCGAAGGTTGATGACAAAAGCATTTTGCGAAACACCCCAGCCATCAATTGAACCTCATCTTCATAATGTATCCCTACCAAACGCTGCCCAACTTTGCTTTGCAAAATGTTCCGACATTTGTCAAGTTTTCGTTGGTGCAATTGCAAAAGGCCAACCGAGTTCACACATTCGTCTGACAGGGGCATAACACAAACATGTCTGCACAAAATGTCATTTCATTGTGCCCATATCTTCTAGGAACATTTTGACATATATCTCAACTTATAAGGGTAATTGGAAAATCCCCCCCCCCAAAAAAAAGAGACTTACTCTCTCTCTCTCTCTCACACACACACACAAACACACAAACACACACACACACACACGCACACACACACACACACACACACACACAGTGACGCACAAACACGCACACATACGTGTAGTAATATATATTTACATGTTATAGCAGAACATTCATTCAATTTTGCTTATTCTATCGATGGAAGTAGCGTGCGGGCAGACGCGATGTTTGAGACTTATTTGTTGGCCGGTGCGTTCCTCATCCTGTCGATGGAAAACTCTCTCTCTCTCTCTCTCTCTCTCTCTCTCTCCCTGTACTTCCATCGATAGGATGAGCAAGATCGAACGAATCTACCGCTCTCTCTCTGTCTCTCTCACACACACACACACAAACACACACACACATATACACGCACACACGCACACACACGTGTAGTCGTATATATTTTCATGTTGTAGTAGAACACTCATTCGGTTTTGTTAATTTTATCGATGGACTAGCGTGAGGTCAGCCGCGGGGTTAGAGACTTACTTGTTGGTCGGTGCGTTACTCATCCTATCGATGAAAAACTCTCTCTCTCTCTCTCTCTCTCTCTCTCTCTCTCTCTCTCTCTCTCTCTCTCTCTCTCTCTCTCTTTGTCTCTCTGTGTACTTTTATCGATAGGATGAACAAAATCGAACGAATCTACCACTTTATCCCTCTCTCTCTCACACACACACATACACACATACACACCCACGCCCACACCCACACCCATACGTGTACTAGTATATATTTCGATGTTCGAGCAGAAAATTCACTCGATTTTGCTCATCCTATCGATGGAAGTTTAGTGGGGTCAGCAATGAGGTTGGAGACTTACCTGTTGGCCGGTGTGTTGCTCATCCTATCGATGAAACTCTCTCTCTCTCTCTCTCTCTCTCTCTCTCTCTCTCTCTCTC